CTGTAGTGGCCAACTATTCGTTTAAAAGTATAACGCATGGAAAACCATGCGTTATACTCTAAAACGCATGCGCATGGGTTTGCCGCGTTGTTGCGTCATAACGGAAAGTCACGTGGTGCAAAACAACCAATCAAAATCTTTCAATTTGTATAGCGCACGAAATAGATGTTATTGAATTATTATATGACCGAGACTCCTTGGGGACTGGACGCTACCGAATCCGTCAATTTGATTGGATAAAAAGGATATTGACTGCGGTCAATATTCTCCCATCTAGACCAGCATCTAGACAGCAACTTGCCGCTACGACGCCGCAACATTTTTCTAGTTAATTTTAAATTGTAAATAAAAGAAAACTATAGCAGTTTGTTCCGTATTTAATAACAACAACGACAGAGAAAAAAAATAGTTAAAAAAAGCCAGCTAAATGCATGTTTTCCGGCTTACCCACGCGGTTGTTTTTTTTTTTCTAAAAAAATTATATAATTGATTATCATTTTCTTTCGTGTTGGGTTTTGGCCAAATAATAAACATATTATTAACCGAGCTTAGTCGGTCTTTATGGGGGAATCTTGACCTAGATCTTGGTACAGACCTCACTGCGTTTGGACTGTACTGACGATCTCGGTCAAGATTCCCCCATACAGACCTCCCGCTCGGTTAATAAGAGGTAAATATTGGTCGAGTTCTTTTTTGCAAATTTTACTGGACCGAGCCGAATGCGAGGTCCATAAACTTGCAAATAAAGAACTTGACCAATATTCCCCAATTTATGATGGCTTTTTTAAAACTTTGCTGATAAATTAATGCAACCATTCTCGGCTAACGCGCGCGCTACAGTTGAGCATATACTTGCATTTGTCAGGCCACTTGGCGAAGAAAACTCCTGTCTTCACATCGTAACATGTCTCTGCCAGTTGCCTGCCACGGAAGTGGAGATTAAAAACCTGAAGTGAAACTGACTCACGTCCTTGTGAGGAGAACGGAAATGTTTTGAAAAAGATACGAACGGTCGATTCAGCAGAAGAAGTGCCGAGTAAGATCGACTCGACAAACAAATTCAAAATAGTAACGGAATGGTAAGTACAAGAATGAAATCGGATTTTTTCCCTTCGTTTCCCGTCGAATGTGTGTTTTAAAATTTATATTTCTTGCATACCGTAGGCACTAGACTGAAGCAGATGACGGAAGGTATGTTCCATGTGCTTGGGACAAGGAAAACTGTCAGAATTTAAAAGAACCAATCAGGAGGAACTCCATTCACACTTCCGTCTCATACCTGTCAATCAATGAGTTTGAAATTTAACTTCCGTGGCAGGCAACTGGCAGGAACATTCTGTGAAACGGGTATTTTAAAACAACGTCAAAATATTGCAGAACTGGGATCAATTGGGCAAAATAAGCTCACTGATGTTTAGTTCAATGTTTCTTATTCTCACAGAATAATTTTCGCGAAATTACAAAGGATATTAGCTTTCCAAATAATGCGAAATTCGAAGGCTGTCATAGGACTTTCATCCCTTGTCATTTTTCTTTAGATTCCGAACGGTTTCCGAACAATTCTCGGCTCCAGACCTCGCGCGATTCAATTCTCAGTTCCAGACCTCACGCGTAAAAAATCCCAAAATGGCTGCAAAATAAGCCTCAACGAACGGTAAGTTTATCTTTTATTCATGTTACAATCCATGTGAGGGCCCCCTGTGCAAATGAGGCTAATGGGCCAATACAATGCCAGATTGACCCTTTCGCCTCGTTTGCATGTCAAACCGCTGACCGTCTGTAATAACTGCTGTTCGGAAAGCTCAGAGAACCAATCAGAATGCTCCATTTCATCATGGACCAGTTTGCCATATAATAAAGTTGAATATTAAACTCTGATAAAAAACATGTTTTTTTAACCAATCAGAGCGCGCGCAGCATCTGAGTCTATATTTTAATAACTGATAAGGAGGGAGATAGAAACTTTAAGGGGGGGGGGGGGGGAGTGGTATACCAATGTACACTTTATAAAGTACCCCAAATACCTAAACTTAATATTAGAATACCACATAAGAACACAGATGCTCTCAAACAAGGATAAACCAGGATTTTATTTATTCAACCAAGGGAAACGAAAATTGGTTCGAGAAATCCGGGGGGAATATCGAGGGTAAAATTACAGTGTGACAAATCCAAGGGAAACGACTTTTGGATCGAGTTATCGGGATTTTTGAGAAATCGAGGGTTCGAGAAATTTGAATTCCGCACTGTACACTAAATACCCATATGATTCAATGCAAATAGAGAATAGCGTACGCTCAATCCACCGTACGGGAACCTAACACAGCCAATAGGCACATAGAAAGCCACATTTTTTCCGAAATTCGTCCCCGTACTACTAAAATTGTGTATGCTAGGTTTGAAATTTTTAGAACTTTTCTGTGCGTTTTTATGAGCGTTTTTAGGGTTTTCGTGCGCTAAGAATTATGGGTAAATGTACCAGCCGCCATCTTTTTCGGTACGGTGGATTTAAAAACCTTCTTGTGTAACGTTATCTCAAAATCCCTGGTTGACCCTGATCAATATATATCTCAATTTTGAACAAATATGCCGCGAATTTAACTTTTCTCTGTTTTTCTACTGCCCAAATTCTCTTCCTTTGCGGATTAAATGGTTGACAAATTCGCGTTCTAAGCTCCTGACTCGTCCTAACCTGCGCATGCGTAGCTTGCCGTTTCGTTGGTGCGCGTGTTGGCAAAATAAACGGTGAAGCGATGAGTCGGGGCTTCGTCGCTCTCGTATTTGGCCTGCGCGCGCCAACAAAACTGCCAGCTACGCAGGCTAGACCTCTAGCCGACTAGACTCGTCCCCAGTGTCTTCTCTTATGAGAAAATTGTTAGACGCGGGGGGAGGGGGTGTTAGTTCTAGACAAAGCATTCAAGAAAACTGAGTCATTTTGGTCTTGCACAAGGATTTTATTTGTTCTCTGTTCTACAAATCCTAGAGTCCCTATGTGTGAAACCGTCTATCACTTACAAATGTCAGTTCTATGCTACGACTCTTTTCAAGACCATCATTCTTAGTGGAAACTAGATTTCTGCTACCAGTTCTAGTTCTCACTGCACAAAGATGTATCCCATGGCTTTGATGTACTTGTCGCCATTATCTGAGGCCGAGCTAGCCGCGTTTCCACATGTAACAGAGTTGTTAGGAGAAGATCCAGAACCAAACCCGATTCTGGAATTACAGGAGCCGCAATTGTTTTGGTTGTTACCAAGAATACCGATTCTTGCTCTGGCACTGGCACCATAAGAACACTTAGCATTGAACCCTTCCTTGTTACAGTTGAACTACAAAGAGGCCTCTGAACCAATCAGCGACTTCCACGTGTCACGACCCAGTGAGGTGGCGCGGTATGTCCCGTCAGCGATCAGTGAGTACAGAGAGTTGGCGGGATGGTTGATGACAATGAACTTGATCTTATGGTCGATCTTCATACCGAGACAAATCTTGGAGAAGGGTGTATTCCAGTAGGTCGGTAACTTGGTCTCTTGTGAATCAAACAAAGTATTCCCTCCAGGAAGGTTGTATTCATTATTATCACTCCAGTACGTCGAGTCATAATGAAAGGTGTTCTGAGAAATAATAAATTATCAATCAAAATATATGTATTTATTCATTCATCATTTCACAATAACTACGTGGTCGTCAATTATGGTTTTATATTTGTACAAAAGGCTTTCTAGTTAGCTGGAATGATCCCGACATTGGAAAAACTTCCTAAAATAATTTGAAGTTCCATCTCTCTTGATCTCACTTGACTTCTGTATGTGACAGCCAATTTTATCAGAGCTAGCTCGAGATTCACGCAACTCAAGTCGATCGCTTTATAGCTCTTTATCATAAATTATAAAATAGCTGAGATTCTCGCGCGTATGTTTCTTGCAGAAAAAGCCATGTCTCGGCCAGAGTATAAAGAATAGATATGACGTCAGATATAACGTCAGTCGGCTAAACTTGGCTTGCTTGCAAGAAATTCGATGGCTGAGAGAACCTCGCCTGCGGCTCGGGTTCTCTGTCTGTACGCCATCTCGGGAGCGAAATGACGTGGCTATGATCTTTATCAGAGTATAAAGACATAGGAACGGAGGTTTTATTCCTTAAATGTATTAAAGTATAATTGGCCGTGTTAGTACCTTTGTGCATCGGTCTTCATGACCAGCGTCCATACACCTCCTCCGCAACCTTCCAGATCAGTCATGTGACAGCAGCCAATACAGAATAAGAGTGGTTAGTTGCTATTCTGAGGCCGGATTAGCATCTTATGTCATAACTGCTTAAGATATATCTTAGGAGAAAACTATTGTTCCCGAAGACCTCCTTACTCTGAGACTTACGTTTTTCTCCTAAAATTTGGAGATCAAAATTGACCTCCTAACTTGCCAAGACATGTCTTAAATCCATGTAGAGTGATGGCGCCGCGGCCATTTTGTTGTATACAGCTGTTTCGAGAAAGGTTGTCGGAAAAAAGCGCACGCGACAATCCCAAAAGGTAATCTGTGATATTATCAATGAAATTTGAATAAGTCAAATAAATACATTCAAACCCGTCGATGCCTACTTTTGTTGCATTCTTTTAGCACTCGCAAACATAAGTCCATGCGTCTCTTGCCATTTTGTCAGATTTCCCTGAAATGTTGAAGTCAAGGAACCGTGAAATTAAAACTACCCACAATAACTTTCGGGATTGTCGCGTGCGCTTTTTTACGACAGCCTTTCTCGAAACAGCTGTATCGTTCATCCAGTGTTGGGCCTCTACTAGGGGCCTTAACAATCTGTTCCATATCATGCTGACTAGCTAAATTGCAATTGCAAAAATTGCATTCATAACTGCGATGATCATTTATTCATTTAATTTCATTTCCGCAGTTCACATAAATGATTTCATTCATATATATTCATCAACACATTCATTCCTATCACGCGGGCATAAGCTCACAGTTGACCTGCTTCCAATGTGTGGATTCATGCATCAGTTGGTAGAGCATCGCACTGGTAACGAGGAGGTCATGGGTTCATCTCCTGTTGAAGCCTGAATTGTTTTCAGGCTGAAATTGCAATTGCAAGAATTGCATCATAACTGCGATGATCATTTAGGCCTGGTTTAAATGTCGCATTTCCACATGTGCCGAATCTAATGAAGAATTAATGCATGTGAAGTTCGACGTTTAAATCAATTAAATTCGAGAGATTTGAATTAAATGCGACTTTTGCCGCATCTTCGACTGGGCCGAGTCGCTCTCGTATTTGGCCTCGCGCGCGCCAACAAAACTGCCAGCTACGCAGGCTAGACCTCTAGCCGACTAGACTCGTCCCCAGTGTCTTCTCTTATAAGAAAATTGTTAGACGCGGGGGGTGTTAGTTCTAGACAAAGCAGTCAAGAAACTGAGTCATTTTGGTCTTGCACAAGGATTTAATTTGTTCTCTGTTCTACAAATCCTAGAGTCCCTATGTGTGGAAACCGTCATATCACTTACAAATATCAGTTCTATGCTACGACTATTATTAAGACCATCGCCTTCTTAGTGGAAACTAGATTTCTGTTACCAGTTCTAGCTCTCACTGCCACAAAGATGTAATCCCATGGGCTATTGATGAACTTGATGCCATTATCTGGGATGGTAACAGACGCGTTTCCACATGTTGTTAGTGTCGTCAGGAGAATATCCAGTACCAAACCCGATTCTGGAGTTAAGGGAGCGGCAATGGTTGTTGGTTGTTAGCAATAAAACCGATTCTTGCTCTGAGCACCATTACTATGAGTACCCTTAGCATTGACATCCTTCCCGGTTACAGTTGAGCTGCAAAGAGGCCTCGGAACCAATCAGCGACTTTCACGTGTCCACGACCCAGCGAGGTGGCGCGGTATGTCCCGTCAGCGATCAGTGAGTACAGCGAGTTGGCGGGGGTGGTTTATGACAATGAACTTGATCTTATGGTCGATCTTCATACCGAGACAAATCTTGTGAGAAGGGTGTATTCCAGTAGGTCGGTAACTTGGTCTATTGTGATATCAAACAGAGTATTTCCCTCCAGGGAAGGTTGTATTCACTATCTATCACTCCAGTACGTCGAGTCATAATGAAAGGTGTTCTGAGGAAATAATAAACTTATCAATCAAAAATTTATATGTATTTATTCATTCATCATTTCACAATAAACTTACGCGGGTCGTCAATTATGGTTTTATATTTGTACAAAAAAGGCTTTCCTAGTTTAGCCTGGATATGATCCCGACATTGGAAAAACTTCCTAAAATAATTTGAAGGTTCCAATCTCTCTTGATCTCACTTGGACTTCTGTATGGGACAGCCAATTTATCAGAGCTACAACC